TTTACTTGTTCAAAGTCTATTTTTTTAAATAAATTTAAATTTATTTCAAAATTAAATTTTTTACAGAAAAAAGAAAAAATTATAAAGAATAAACTTTGACAAAACATGATCAGTTCGTTAACGATCAAAAATCTCTAGCCATACAATATTTTCAATGATAGATTGATTCTCTGAGTCATTTTTTATAAATATATTTTTAGGATTTTTACATCTTGATACCAATACGTACAGTTGTCATAGAGAAAACAAAGGTATTTCGTAGCAAAATCCTGATTTGTTGAAACATTGACCGTGTAATTTATTGATTTTTATGAAAAAAACTAGAACTAATAGAAACCGTTTTCTGTGTATAATTAACGGTAAAAATATTTTTACTGGTATGTACAGTGATTCTGGGTTTGAAATATCTCTAACTATATTTTTGACAAGTTATTACTTCTGACTTGAAATTACAGTTTTATATTTTTTTCATACGAAGTCTAGTACCATTGCACAAACCATAAAATTTACTCGAATTTCTTATCAACGTAACAATAGCGTAAATGTTTTTATTTGAAACATGAAGGGGTTATCCTTCATGCACATAATTCAGAGTTTATTTTGGAAAATCTGTTTATATATTATTTAGTGCGATCACTACCTTTATATTTTTCATAATCTATACTGTAATAAGTATGTACTGTCCCTTTCTTAAAATTAAAAATCTGAATATTTAAAATATATGAGCGTTCGTTATGAGGTGTCAAAATGACTCTTTTTAATCAGCTACTTCTACCATCCCCATACATTTGGTTACAAATACTATAAGTTTTTAATCTCTGAGGAATTTCAAAAGACCTCATGGTTCTGTTTTTAATGTCCATTAACAATAATAAAAAAAATTATGTTTTTTCATTATATCCCACGAAATGTAGCACGTTATACTCTTTCCACACAAAAAGTATGGACTTCAAAAAATCTCAGGTGCAATGAACGCTGGAGCGGAAAGGGGAGAAAGCTTAATCTTTCGACCTTTAATGAAAGAAAGACGAGGGTTTCTCACACACCTAGATCTTCTAACATTTATTACTAAGTTAATATAATCAACCATTTCGGCTGTTTGTAAGACAATGTTTTTACTCACTAAAAATATAATACAAAAAACCTTGAAATGTACTTAGACTGACCTTCAAAAAAGAAAAATCCTGATCGGCATCCAATACATTTATTCTTAGAAGAACCATTACACGTTTCACAAGAAGAATGACATGCAACACAATGGTAGTCATCGGTTTCATAGGTGTATAAGGGACAAGTTGCGTAGCATTTGTTTTTATAAAGTACTAAATGATGCTGACAACTCGTGCACTGATCTGGTTGTTCTGAACAATTTTGACAATTTGCTTCACATGGCTCACATGTACCATTTTTAGAATCTGTAAAAAAATTTTTAAAGGCTTATTTACTCTTTTAAATATAGCACAAATCAGTAATTTAATTTCTTCAAGTCGTACCAAAAATTTTTTTTTACTTAAACATAATACAATACATAATAATATCAAACAAAAAAAATGTATTACTACTTAATCAAAAACAGAAAAAAAATTGCAAACTGCTAAAAGTAAATAATAGAACCAAACCATGATTAAGTGTACGACATTGTATTTGCTGGCTCTAAATTGCAACAAGTGAAATTCTACTATCTATCTATCTATATATATA